CAGTAATTTTGCTATCTGACATATTATGAGAGTTATTTGTCACATTTAAAAGTTAATATATGAACTTGGTTGATGCATCCATGATTACCTAACATTGCTGGAGATGCTGTGGTGTTATTTTCTTACAGCCATGAACCGTATTTCCTAGGGGTGCACCGATAAATTGGCCAACCGATTTATTGGCCCCGATTTCCTTAATTTTAGAAAATCTGACGATATTTGCATGAGAAAACGATTTTACCGATTTTTTTAGTTTTAACAACAATTGTCTGAACTTCATTTACACTGTATATTTCAGAGCACTACCTCACAGCCAGTTAAAACAAGTTTGTATTATATCTAGGATATTGTTTAAGGGCATGTTTTTCAATAAAATAATATTGTAAAATTGAAGGTGCATTGTGACCTTATAACACCAGACAGTGTCGCTTATAAAACAAAATCGGAATCGGCAGGTCAGACTTTTTAGAAATCGGTGATCGGCCAGAAAACTGCCATTGGTGCACCCCTAGTATTTTCCACCGTACATCACACTGCTGTATAAGTCCCATCAGTCCAAATATGTCCAATAAAAAACATAAATACGTCGCTCCACCGCATAATTCGCATCTATTATGTGTCACCGCTGACAACCCAGAAATGTGGATCGGTGTTGTGCCAAAAATCGATTGGCTGCCAAATGGCGGCTGCGGGAGCGTGCACGGGAGAACTTTAACAAGAATTTAACAAGATTAACGCTTAAAAACAATTATATGTTTGCTTGAAATTATAGTAAAGGTGTGTCTCAGTCTAACTTTTGCTTAATAAAAGGACTTTAACGGTCAAATCAGCTGCATTTCAATAATTTTCTCTGCCTCGGTTCTCCGGGAGCGCACAGAGGGAGGGAATCAGGAAGTAGGAATGCTGCACATTGCTTTGAAATTTAACAAGATAAGCATCTAAAAGCAATTGTTTGCCCATTTGAATTGTGACGTTTTATGGTCTGAGACTTTTCTGCATCATTCATATTATTGTCACTATTTTCAGTTCTCAGATTATCTGGAGTCACTGAATCTTGTTAATACACCTGAATCTGCCCATCACTGCAACTTTCACTGTTTTTGGGTTCTGAATGATCGCGTCTTCATTAATGTTTCTCATGGTTTGATTATGGGGGCTAATTGTCACACTGTTAACTCCTGTAATTACACATTAGTCACGAAAAACTCAAGAAAATGTCTGATAATAATGTTGTTACTGCTCTCAGGGATTCAACCCAACCCTGGACCCCCAACTATTTATATGACACCAAATGACTTTAAGAATGTGTCTGGTCTTCATGTTTTGCATGTAAATGCTCGTAGCCTTCTGAGAAAACTTGATGCCTTGAAAATTCTGGTCAGTTCTTCTGGGGCAGATGTAATCTTCAACTCTGAAACCTGGTTCAAGAATTCTGTACTCAATAATGACCTGGCAATCAATGGATTTAACATCTACCACTGTGATCGTCAAAAAAAAGGGGGGGGGGGGGGGGGTCGCTGTTTACATCAGAGATTCTTTGGTTGCTAATCTTGTGTCTTCTAAAACAATTCCAAACCAAACTGATGCCTTAGCTGTAAACATCACTTTGAATGGAGGCCAGATCTTATCTGTAGTCTGTTGTTACCGTCCCCCCTCAGCAACACCTGAGGCTCTGTCCGCCCTGATAGAATTTCTTGGTAATTTAAAATTCAAAGAGATCTTTTTGGCAGGAGACTTCAATATTGACTGGGGTAAGTCGACCCCCCTCTGTGATAAATTCAAGGAATGTTGCCTGTCTCTCAATTTTACCCAACTGATCAACTCTCCCATTAGATTAAACAAAAACCGTCCTGAAAAATCCTCTATCTTAGACCTGTTTCTAACAAATACTGTATGCCTCACAAATTCCCTGGTACAGGTGTATTTGCCAATATCTTGAGTGATGATTATGTGACAGCGGCTTTGAGAGATATTAACCTTCCACCTTGTAAGCCCAGATTAATTAAAAAAAGGGATCTGAAACATTTTTGTGAACCGTCATTCCTCTGGGATCTGTCTCACTTTGACTGGCATCGTATTCTGTTAACTGATGACGTGAACTCCGCTTGGAACTATTTTCATAATAGTTTCATTTATTTCCTGAACATACATGCTCCTTTTCGTCAGTTCAGAATAAAGGGACGAGACAGCCCCTGGTTTACTCCTGAGCTAGCTGACCTCCTGCACAGGAGAGATCATCTTTGGGCCACAGCGAGAAAATCTGACTCGGACACTGACTGGTTGAGTTTTCGACAGATGAGGAATAAATGCACAACTGCTGTCAAAGCAGAAAAACGCAACTATTTCTTATCTCAGACCTCCAAAAATCTAAATGACCCCAACAGATTCTGGAAAACCATCAAATCTCTCTCAGGCAGCCCCCAATCATCTGACCTCCCATCACAACTTCTCGTTAACTCTGTTCCTGTGTCAAATAGGCACGAGATCCTGAACTGTTTCAACAAACATTTTGTTGCTTCTAGTTCTTTATTTGACACAGTTACTATTGGAAAATCAATCACTTCACTTAATAACCAAACTTCTACAAATCAAATCCCTCTTACAAGTCAATCCTCAGTTAATCACAGCTTCTCTTTTTCTCATTTCTCAGTCAGTGAGGTCAATAAACTGTTAAAATATCTTGATCCTAAAAAATCTGCAGGTCCAGATGAACTTCCAACTTATTTCTTAAGGCTGGCTGCTCATATCATCACAGTCCCTGTGACCCACATCTTTAATCTCTCCATAAGACAAAACTCCATCCCAGACACTTGTAAAACAGCCTTTGTTCTTCCTTTGCTAAAGGGAGGTGACCCCACCTCACTGAACAACTATCGACCAATCTCTAAACTCTGCATTTTAGCCAAGGTTCTAGAAAAATTGATAAACTCTCAAATCAAAAATTACCTGGACTCATTTAACATCTTACCTCCACATCAATCTGGTTTCAGGAAACAACACAGCACAACCACTGCTTCACTGAAGGTTCTTAATGATGTTGTTGAAGCACTGGATGCTAAGGATTATTGTGCTGCACTTTTCTTAGACCTGTCTAAAGCTTTTGACACTGTGGATCAGAACATATTGTGTCATAAACTCTCAGAAATTGGTTTCTCAGAACACATTATTGGTTGGTTCTCTAACTATCTCTCAGACCGGAAGCAATGTGTTCAACATAATGGTACTTCCTCCAGTTATTTAACAGTCAACAATGGTGTACCACAAGGCTCAGTCTTAGGACAACCCTCTTTACAATCTACATACATAATGTAGGTAAAAACATCCCTAATGCATCCATACATTTCTACGCTGATGACACAGTTGTTTATTGTCGAGCTAAAACTGTTGCTAAGGCTTTCCAGCTTTTGAAATCTACATTCAACTTCATCCAAACAGATTTGCTCCGCCTCAAACTTGTCCTAAATGCCGACAAAACCAAAGGGATGCTTTTTTCAAATAGGAAGTTGGTCCCAGCAGTTCTTCCTCCGATTTTATCCTCAAATGGTGTCTCGATTGAGTTTGTTGATTCCTATAAATATTTGGGTATCTTGGTCGACTCACATCTCTCTTTTAAGCACCATGTGGAAAACTTGGTAAAGAAACTGAAAGTTAAACTGGGTTTGTTTTTCAGAAATAGATCCTGTCTAACCCTGAATGCTAGAAAACGCCTTGTATCTGTGACTTTCCTTCCCTCCATTGATTATGGTGACATTATTTACATGAACGCTCCTACAAGAACCCTGCAGATGCTGGATGCTGTCTATCATGGTGCACTAAGATTCATAACTGGCTGTGATTATCGTACCCAGCACTGGACCCAGTATTCACTGGTTAACTGGACATCATTAACTTCACGCAGACTCTCTCACTGGTACTTTTTCCATCTTTAAATCACTTCTTGGTCTGCTGCCTTCATACATCTCCTCCTACATGTCTCTGCGTGAGTGCAGCTACAGCGTGCACTCTCAGGACATTATTACCTGCAGTGTTCCCTCAATGAGGACTGAACTAGGCAAAAGGGCCTTCTCCTACTCCGCTCCTGTTTCCTGGAATATCTTACAAAAAGATCTGAAGCTTTCAACCTTGACCTCTCTAAGTGGCTTTAAGAATCTGTTGGACTCCTGGCAGGGCCCAACGCAGACATGTTCCTGTTTTTAGTTTTCTACATTCACCTTAGAATCTAGCTGGGTTTTTTTTGTTACCTTTTTCTTTTAGCCATCCTATTTGTTATAAAAAAAAATTTGTAGTATGACTTTTTATAACTGTTTATTGTTGTCGCTGTTGTCCATTGTTGTCATCATTTTTGTTGAAATCAGGTCTCTCTTGTAAATGAGTCCTCGAGGCTCAATGGGATTTACTTGTCTAAATAAAGGTTGAATGAAAAATTATTTGTTTGCTCAACATTATAGTAAAGGTGTGTCTCAGTTGATCTTTAACTTAATAAATGCACTTCAATGGTCAAATCAGCTGCATTTAACCAGGGCACCGCAGAGAAATGAAGCTGATTTGACGGTTGCTCCAGGCGAGCTGGATGAAGGTGGTATGTATGGCAAGCTGATTGTGTCATTAATAGCCACTTTTACCTACTACATGACACAACAGCATCCCATACTACTTGTGTGCCATCTAGTGGATTAAAATTGTAGTGTTCAACATTTTCAGTCAGAATGAATGAAAACGGTCATATCTCAGCCAAAAATTGTTTTTTAAATATGGGGAAAAATACATAAATACGTCGCTTCAGTGTATTAAGTCACAGGGCATGCAAATTATGCAAAAAAAAAAGACTTATAGGCCGAAAAGTACAGTATCTCAATACATTAAATAAACATAAGGCTAATACACAATACTGCAATGTGTGTGTATGTGTGTGTGTGCGGGGGGGGGGGGGGGGGGGTGTATTACTAAGACTAGCTTGGGTTTATCAGCAGTGGAAATAACCAAAATACGGAGTGACTGACCTTATTCAGCTCCCGAGTGACTCTCATCATGTTGTACTGATCTCTTCTGTGTTTGAAGTGCAGTGCATCGATCGCCAGGATCTGTCTGTTCAGTCGAGCCCATTTATCTCTAGACAGTTCAGAATGAGTCAGAAAATCTGCTGAAAATTATATGAATTCAGGTTTTAAACAAAAACCACTCACACCTTTGAAGGTTGTCCTCATAAGGTCCTGCCCACTCAAACTTGCTGCTATAACCCGAGTACTGGCTAAACTTCTCTGAGCCTGAGAAACAGACAATACAATACTTCATATAACACTTTAAAATGTCACAATTAAAGAAACTGCAACGATGTTAGAACTAGCAGTATAAAAACAGGAAGAGTAAAACTTTTTTTTTTTTCAACCTGTTATGATGAGACATTCGTTGTCTGCAAGCTTCTCAGTAAAAAGGCGAGACACAATCAGTTCTGGATTCATGAGGAACAGGATCTCTTCTTGGACTAGACCTGAGTCAAGAACACCCCCACCAATCCAGCTGGAGGCAAAGTCCACCTGCAAACAGACACATGCGCACAATCCACACTCAGTTGGGAGCTGAAACAACCATGGATGGGTCTGTTGGCGGGTTCTCACCTGAAGCATCCCCGTACCATCAGCCTCGATGCTGCCCTGGGACGTCAGGTGCAGTTTCTGTAGCGTCTCCTTACAACTACCACAGAAACACACTTTAATTTTAATCTGTGGATAATAATCTGGGAGTTCATTATTTAGCTCCAAGATGAAATCGCTCATGACAGAAACAATCGAACAGAATCACAGGAAGTTTGGTCTTTTGGGTCAAAGATGTTGTTCCTTCCAGTAACAACTGGGAAAGTGGAGAAATTCACTGAATCAATATGGATATTTTTAACTAAATTTTAAAAAATGATAAGGTTTATAATAACAAAGTCTAATGCTGTTAGAAAAATGTGCTTCTCTGTAAAAATGTTTCTCTGAACATAGTTTTAATTTTGTGTTAATGAGTAAAATCAGTGATTACAGACTGGCTTCCTCTTTGCTGTTGTAAAGTTTAAACGTTAATGACAATAAATGTGATGATACATTAGTCACACATTTCTGCTCATGAGTCACCAAAACAGAAAAAAAACCACTTTGCCTAGCCAGGAGCGAAAGATTTTAAACACAGAAGAAAAAAAACAAATATATATATATATATATATATATATATATATATATATATATATATATATATATATATATACACAGTAGTCCCTGGCTACTTCACGGTTCCACTTGCGTGGACTCGATCTTGTGGACGTACAGTCCGTCCATATATTGGACACATTTTTTTTCAACACAATTGTGGACTGTACAATAATATCACTGTACAGAACTCATGTGGATGTGAAAAAGTTAATGACAAAAATAATAATAATTCGGACAGGCGCCACCATTTTGTAGTTTTCTTTCATTCAGCCTCCTCTGTACTGTAATCACCACTCATAAGGACTACATTTCCCTCAAATCAATGCTGTGCTGTAACTGTAGTGCCTCTGGCCGCAGTTTTCTGCTGAACAGCATTTTTGCAAAGTGAAGTCATGACTGCTGAACCGGCCTTTCAAACATTAAATTTAATTCATGTCACTTTTTTAAGAATATTCAACTTTACAAACGTAAGATTCAAAAGAACATGTAAATCATGTGAGGACATGTCTCTTTAAGAAACAGAGCGTTGACCCGGGCGATGATTGGTAGTTATCATCTGTTTACCATCGCTCTTTTTCAACTAAACTTGGAGCATTATTACTGCGTTATGTTTTCTAAACGTTCTGTGCGTTCAAGTTTCTAGCGGTGAACTGAAATGTCAGAAATATTTTGTAACCAAAATGCTTAGTAACCCGGCCACTGATTGGCTGTTACAGTAGCAGATGTTCACTAACACACAGCAGCAGGGGGTTTGTTTATCTACGCTTTTTTCCAACTGGACAGCTCCCAAACATTCTGTGCGTCCAAAAGTTTCTGGTGGTGAACCGAAACACCAGTGGAAGACGCTGACGATTAAAGAGAAAGTGGAACTTCTGGACAAACTTTAAGATGGTCGTACCTACGTGGATGTTGCCGGCCGCCTATGGCACGGTTGTTAAGATGGAAGCTGCATTGGATGTGTGGATTAATGATTGCAGGGAAAAATAAATCACTTTGGATAAAACCAATTTGGATTAAAAGTGTTTCTCTGCACGGAGAGGCTGCGTCCGCTGACAGCAGGAGCGGAGGAGTTCGTTAACACGAGTTCAAAGATCTGATCACCGAGGGGGTCTACAGGTCTGAACAAGGTTTAACGTGGATGAAACAAGCCTGTTCTGGAAAACGATGTCACCTCGCACTTTTATTATGAAGGACGAAGCCAAAGTCCCTGGTTTCATCTCATCTTCATCACCTTCACCATCATCACTGGACAGCTAATTCTTCATCTCTTCTTCATCAGAGTCAGAGTTTCTTTATTGTCATTCGCACCTCATGTGGTACATGTGGAGGAGCGAAATTATGTACACAGGGTCCCAGTTACATCCAACAATAAAATGTCTAAGAAAAACAGTAATAACATCTAAGATATGAACTAAGAAAAACATCAACTAAATATACACCAAGCACTCATAACAAAAAACATTGAACATCAGCACAAACATGAACATAAGTCTGTGTGAGCAGATGTGCACGCATGAACACATCAACATGAAACAGATCAGCAGCAACATGAAACAGATCAGCAGCAACATGATGTGATTTTTCACAGTGATTATTCTGGTTAGAGATTCATGAGTCTAACAGCCTCAGGGTAGAAGCTGTTCCTCAGTCTAGTGGTTCTACACAATGCTCCTCAACCTCCTTCCTGAGGGGAGTGGGGCAAAAAGTGTGTGTGCTGGGTGGGTGGGGTCTTTCATGATGCAGGTGGCCCTCTTCCTGCATCTGGAGGTGTAGATGTCTGTGATGGTGGGGAGGCTGATTCCGACAGTCTTCTGTGCAGCCTTCACCACTCTCTGCAAAGCTTTTCTTTCTGCAGCTGTGCAGCCTCCATGCCACACGTTGATGCTCGAGCACAGGATGCTCTCCACTGCACACCTGTAGAAGGAGGTGAGGACTGAGCTTCCCAGTCCAGCTCGTCTCAGCCGCCTGAGGAAGTAGAGTCTCTGATGAGCTTTCTTGATCAGGCTGGTGGTGTTGTTGCTCCAGCTGAGGTTGTCATTCATGTGTACACCCAAGAACTTGTAGCTGGAGACCACTTCCACTGCAGATCCTCTTATGTTCAGGGGGGTGTAGATGTTTTTGTTCTTTCTGAAGTCCACAATCATCTCCTTTGTCTTCTTCACATTGATGTGAAGGTTATTCTCTCTGCACCAGCTCTCCAGGTGTTCCACCTCTTGCCTGTAGCTGGACTCATCATTGTTTGTGATGCATCCCACCACCGCTGTATCATCTGCAAACTTTACAATGTGACAGCCTGGATGGGTAGCTGCACAATCATTCGTGAGCAGAGTAAACAGGAGGGGGCTCAACACACATCCCTGAGGAGAGCCAGTGCTGAGGGTTATGGTGGAGGAGGAGAAGTTGTGGATCCTCACTAACTGTGGTCTGTTTGTTAAAAAGTCTAGTACCCAGTTGCAAATGGAGGGGCTTAGTCCTAGTGTGGATAGTTTGTCCATCAGGGTTTGGGGGATCATGGTGTTGAAGGCAGATGTGAAGTCCACAAAGAGCATTAGGATGTAGGAGTCCTTCTGTTCCAGATGGTTGAGCGCAGTGTGGACCACAGTGGAGATGGCATCCTCTGTTGATCGGTTCTCACGGCATGCATACTGATGAGGGTCCTCGTTGATGTTGATGGTTGTTTTGATGTGAGTCATGATCAGTTTTTTGAAGCATTTATCGACTATCGGGGTGAGGGCCACTGGCCGATAGTCATTCAGACCAGTCACTGCAGAGCCCCTTGGGACTGGGATGATGGTGGCCGTCTTCAGGCAGGTGGGAACTGTCTCCAAGGTAAGTGAGTTGTTAAAGTGAGGTGTAAAAGTTCATCTTCTCTGGTGCGTACCCATTTAGATTAATATTTTTAAAAGATTTAAGAGTTTAGAAAATTGTTAGGAATATTGCAAGTGGGAAGGGTTTAAAACGCCAATATATACCTGTATATGAATGCTAAAATAAACTACTACTACTACTGCAGTAAATACTAAAATAAATTATTACTGCTACTACAGTAAATGCTAAAATAAACTACTACTACTACTGCAGTAAATACTAAAATAAATTATTACTGCTACTACAGTAAATGCTAAAATAAACTACTACTACTACTACAGTAAATACTAAAATAAATTACTACTACTACTACAGTAAATACTAAAATAAATTACTACTACTACTACAGTAAATACTAAAATAAATTACTACTATTACTACAGTAAATACTAAAATAAATTACTACTACTACAGTAAATACTAAAATAAATTACTACTACTACTACAGTAAATGCTAAAATAAATTACTACTACTACTACAGTAAATACTAAAATAAACTACTACTACTACTACAGTAAATACTAAAATCAATTACTACTACTACTACTACTACTACAGTAAATACTAAAATAAATTACTACTACTACTACTACAGTAAATACTAAAATAAATTACTACTACTACTACAGTAAATACTAAAATAAACTACTACTTGTGTACATAATTTCGTTCATCACATGAGATGGTAATAACAATAAAGTTTACTTGAACTTGGACTACTGTATCCCTACTTTGCTGTTTTTCACTTATCGCGGGGGGGGGGGGGGGTCCACTCCCTAACACCCCCAATAAATGAGGGACTGCTGTATATATGTGTGTGTGTGTGTGTGTGTGCGCGCGCGTGTGTGTGTGTGTTGCTTAAAAATGAGTGAATAAAGAAGTGCATTACTTTCTCCAGTTGGGCAGGTCTGTGTCTCTGAGGCAACACCTCTCGAACGTCACCAGCCCTTTAGGTTGAGTTTCTGAGGAGACACAGATTTATTGTCTGCCTAAGAAGAACATTGTTTCTCTGCATTTTGTAAAAGTCACAAATAATGTTGCAGACAACAACAAAATAAACGGTTAGGTGTAACGGAACTCACTCTCATCTAACACCACGTTGAAGTAATGCATAATGGCCCTCAGCTTCTCGATTTTACACTTCGACTGGTCTGTGAACAACCTTTGAGCAAAAAGTTAGATTACACAAGAGCACAGAAGGATGGAGACAACCTGATCCTGTGTTTGCAGACCTGGTGAAGTTAATGGTTGGGTAGTTGTGGTATTCTGTGTCGGGTCTGGAGGTGTTGCGGTGAGGGAATGTACAGAAGAAGGCATTTGCCAGCAGGCAGGAAATCTGGACCTGTGACAGAGTGATGGCTGCAGGCTGTCCCTTCTGAAGCAACGGGACAGCCTGAACACACACAAACATGTTTTACAAACTGTTGTAGCACAAGAAGATTAGTTATTCACTAACACAAGTTATCTATTGCAGATTTTAAAAAACGCTTATTGTCAAGCTTGAGTTATATACAGATGAATTTAGCTGAAGCTGCACAGACTGTGCTGCTGAAACACAAACGTCTGTACAGTTAATTTGCTGCTGACTGTTTTAAGATGCTTGATTTAGTGCCGCTGTGATGGACTTGCAGGGTGTACCCCGCCCCTCGCACAGTGATTGCTGGACATGGGCACCGGCGACCCCCGTGACCCAAAATGGAATAAACGGGTAAAGATAATCGATGGATGGATTTAGTGCCGCAGCATTAAAAGATGTATGTTTTGTGTTAAACTGGTCCAATAATAAATATGATCAGAACATGAGCTGGTAATAATGTATCCCACTGAAATGATTACCTCTAAACCTTCTCTGGTCTTGTACAAGGTAAGCTATTTGTGGGCTTGACCTTAGAGCTGGGGGGGTGGGGGTGTCATTACTTGACACGCTGACTAGTGGTGGTACAAATGCGTATAAAGTTTTGTTAAATTATCTTGAGTGTATCAGAAGTTAAGGCCCCAACAAGCAAATAACTTGTATAGCATTTGACCTTGAATTGTGACCTTGACTGTAGAGCTGGAGTGATGAATAGTGGCATAAAACCAGCTGATCACATGATCAAGAAGGACCATCAGCCTAACAATGGATCATTAGCACACTGATGGCTGTTTACTATTCACAGAGGGCTGAGTGATACTAGCAATCACAGCATTGTAAGAGGGGGACAGTTGAACCCGGAGGCCTCCACCCCTGTTTAATGATGGACGGTTTCTTTTCACAAAGATGGCCTCCTTTACTCCTCTCTCAAACCATCGTTCCTCTCTGTCCAGGATGTGAACATTTTCATCCCTGAACGAGTGACCTCTGGCCTGGAGATGAGTGTAGACCGCAGAGTCCTGGCCTGATGATGTTGATCTTCTGTGCTGGAACATCCTTTTGGCCAGTGGCTGTTTAGTTTCCCCGATGTAAGACTGATCACCCTCCTGACACTGAACAGCATACACAACATTGCTCTGTTTGTGCCGGGGGACTGGATCTTTGGGATGAACCAGTCTTTGCCGTAATGTATTTTGGGGTTTAAAAGCCACTGGGACGTTATGTTTAGAAAATAAACGTCTCAGTTTCTCTGATACTCCCTCAACATATGGAATGACCACTGGTCTGGGTCTGGGTTCCTCCTTTTCACCTGATGGTTGACTGGAGTCCTGTTTGGGTTTCTTCTCTGCTTCAGGAAGGCCCAGTTAGGATATCCACATTGCTGTAGAGCCTGTCTTGTGTGGGATTTCTCCTTCTGCCTGGCTCCTGAGTTAGTGGGACCATCGGGTGAAAAGGAGGAACACAGACCCAGACCAGTGGTCATTCCGTATGTTGGGGGAGTTTCAGAGAAACTCAACATGATGGAGGTTCATAGCAATTTTGGGGCTGCATTGTTGGAAATAGAGTTGGAGATTTGGTTCATTTATATGGTGTTGTAGATGCTGAGAAAACTGTCATGGATGATGAATCTGATATTTATTTTGTTGCAGAACAATGACCCTAAACATGCAGATAAGAGTTCTGGAGACAGAGCCCTCATCATGGATACTGCCTGGGACTACAAGAACAGATAGACTTGGGCCAAACAACATCCACAGAACATCTGTGGTTAATTCTGTGGGTTCTGAGAAGAGATGACGCTGTATGAAAGCAAAATGGCAGCCACACCACATATTGATTTGGTTCAGACTTCACTTCTGTTCATTCTCTTTGCTTTGTTATAGTCTAAAGAATTTTTGATTATTATTTGTAAATTTGTGAACTTTAAAGCATTTTCCCACTGTTCCTTATAACTTTAGGACAGTACTGAATCTCTGTTATATGCTTCCAAATGTTTATAGTTTGATTTTATAGCAAACAATATAGTTTTTAACGTTTTCAGATATTTCTTAACATTCATGAGTTAACAGAATAATTTGTGCTGCATCCACTGATACCTTTTTCACTTGCTCAGGCAGCTTCAAGGCCAAGGCAGCAATCTTCGGAAACAGTTTCTCAAAGTAATTGTCTGCATTTGGGACTTGCTTGAAAGAAAACAAGAAACATTTCTCAGGATTTAAACATTCTCAAAACCGACAATTCCATTAAAAATCTTGAATACTGACCTTAACAAAGTTGACTAGGCCATCAATCGACCACTGACCTTTGTACTTGGGATTGTATTTGAGGATGGCTTTCTGGAAAGAAAAGCAGTTTAAAAGAGTTTAATAACATATAAATTATTGTTTCAATGCTCTTGTAAAAGACTGTCAGAAATAATTAGTCAAACCTACCACCACTTCTTCAGCACTTGCTGTTTTCTTACTGGCGAGAGCATTCAGTTGCTCAGAGATTATGTTCCACCTTTGCACCTGGCTGGGTAATTTGAAACCCAAAATCTGCAACATTGTTTAAGTTTATTTTTAAAACTAAAAATCTATTTCATTTCACCATTAACATGGACATGCATACAGGATTACAGTCACATGTTAGACAAAAGTGTAAAAGACTGAGCACACATTCCTGAGGGACACCTACGCTGTTTAATTAAGGGGTCCAATTTTATTTTCGTCATGTTCTATCTGTTGTTTTTACTGATTAAAAAAGTCCTGACCTGTGGAGGCATACAAATCACTGGGTCTTTGAATGTCTGTCAAAGTATCTGGTTCAAGACAGTCAGTAACACTGAATCAGAAACACTGGCAGACCGTTAAGAGCCAGTGGTTGCAAAGTTGAGGCCTCTTCGGATTGGACTTCTGTGCAGTGTCCATACCACAGAAACTCATTAGACTTGGATCTGAAAATCTTCTGAAGCAATGTCAAAACTACATTTTGGCAGGAAACGATGTACTGCCTAAAGAGGCCATTGGCATCAGTGAATGCAGGTTTTATTGAGCAGTGTCCTTGATCAGCAACAGGTAACTTGGTCATTATCTACAGCTACATAAACAAAAAGAACACTGCCCAAAGCAACGCATAACCTCACCAGCTTGGCGGTTCCCCATTGTGCATCATAGTTTCACAAGTTAGCCAAGGACACTGGCCCTGGGATACACATTAAATGAAGGAAAACACAACTTTTTATTATTCAAATATTGAGTTGAAAATTGGTGGTGGAAGCTGAAAGTCATTTCCAACACATTCTTTGACCATTAACAAACTACATGAGATATTAAAATATTTCACAAAGTTGTGCATACTGGTATTTTCAGGATTTGACCAAAATGGCTATAAATCTTTTTCCTGCCAGCTGCATTTCTAACATCCTTCTACCAGTATACCCACTGTCCCTCCTCTGGACATGTCCAAACCATCTCAGTCTGGTGCTGTACCTCTGATGATCTCATTCCTAATCTGATCCATCCTTGTCACTCCTAAGGAGAACCTCAACATCTTCAATTCTGCCACTTCCAGTTCTGTCTCCTGTCTTTTTGTCCACGTCTCTGTCTCCAGACCATACAATACAGCTGGTCTCACCACTGTCTTGTAAACTTTTTCTTTGACCTTTGCTGACACCCTTTTGTCACAAATCACTCCTGAAACTTTTCTCCATCCACTCCATCCTGTCTGGACTCTCTTCTTCACTTCTTTACCACACTTCCCCTTTTTCCTGGACAGTGGACCCCAAGTACTTGAAGTCCTGCACCTTTGTGACCTCTGCTCCTTGTAGCCTCACTGTTCCACCGGCCTCCCTCTCATTCACACACAACTTATAACACTTATTATGATCTAATATACTCAGTGTGCATTCAGAGTTTGTGAGATAATGAAATATAGTGTGTCCTGTCATTTCTTTTTAATTTGGTCTTTACACTTGAATCCAGTGTTGATGACGGTGAACAGGGCATCTTCACAAAGTTTCTGTGCCACAGGTCTCGCCCGTCCAGAGGAATGAGTCCTGCTCCACAGTTGAAAGCCTCCACCTACAAGACAAAGAGCAAAACAATATATTTTTTAATTTAATTTAATTTACTTCAAATTATTTTTATTTTTGCAATTTTTTGCTAAACTGGTTTCACAAGGTGACAAAGAGTCAACATCTTCAACTTCAAACGGGAATAATTTTTGAATAATCATTTACAAACTCAAAAATCTTAATTGTCACTTGAACTCAAACTATCATGAAAATAATTAATTCTTGTTGAGGGAATTACTCCAGTCATAACCCTACCAACACACGGCCCAAAAATCTGCAACTCACTTTACAACCAGGGTCATCAACTTCATTTGCTCAAGGCCCAGAATACTTTTGTTCAGAAATTGTAGGAGCCAATGATTACTGTGGTATTCATCACTTGTCTGTTTTATTAAAGTACATTTCCTCAGCCATAAATGATGTTTGTGATGCAGTTTTAAAGATAATGGTTAGAAAATATTTCACTTTTACTGTTTTTAACCAAAAGCAAAGAAAAATATCACAGTTTGTGTTGGACAAACCCAGAATGTTATGGTGGCCCTGAGGTGGAAAAAGTTTGAAAAAACAAATTACAAAGCGGAAATGGTCAGAATCACATTTAAAAATAAATGAAATTACATTAGAAAAAACAGAATAACACAAAAATTATATAATTTCTGTTTATTCTAATGTAATTTTGTTTTTTCAAATATTGATTCTGTTTTTTTCTAATGTAATTGTTTTTTCTTATGTAATTCCATGTTTTCAAATGTGATTCAATTTTTTCCAATATTGATTCTGTTTTTTCTAATTCCGTTTTTTCAAATGTAATTATGTTTTTTCAAGTATTGATTCCATTTTTGCTAATGTAATTCAATTTTTTAAATGATTCCGTATTTTCTAATGTAATTCTATTTTTTTCAAATGTGATTAGTTTTTTAATATTTGTTCTGTTTTTTCTAATTCTGTTTTTTCTAATGTAATTCCATTTTCTCAACTGTAATTCCGTTTTTTTCCAAATGTAATTCAGTTTTTTCAAATATTGATTCTGTTTTACCATACCACATCAGCTTTATTTACAGAGCACTTTAAACACCCACAGGACCAAAGCCAATTCAATTTTCTCTAATGTAATTCTGTTTTTTTAATGATTTTTAATTTTTTTATGATTGTTTTTTCTAATTCTGTTTTTTCAAATGTAATTCAATTTTTTCAAATATTGATTCTGTTTTACCATACCACACCAGCTTTATTTACAGAGCACTTTCAGCACCCACAGGACCAAAGAAAATTCAATTTTCTCTAATGTAATTCTGTTTTTTTTAAATGATTTTTTATTTATTTTTTTATGATTCTGTTTTTTCTAATTCTGTTTTTTTTTCAAATGTAATTCAATTTTTTCAAATACTGATTCTGTTTTTTTCAGATGTTTATTTACACCTTAGGGCCACCGTAGAATGCAGACAAACACATGGAGCTCAAAGAAATAACCTCAAACTTTATTTAAAGCAGTGGTTCCCAAACTTTGTTCAGATGTGTATCCCTTCAGACATCTGACCTCTAGCAAAGTACACTCCCGTTAAAATGTGTTTGTAAACACTGCATGTATCAAATGAAATCTTAAACAACTGTTAATTTTTTCCCATCAAATTATATTTATTAATAAATATCAGCATTAATAAGCAACACATTTATAGGCTGAATCATCCAAACATTATCCTATGTAGAATGTATATACCGGTGTTGTAAATCTGTAGTGGACTAGGCCTATGTCAAAACTGACCAGATGGACAGAGACTGTTATTTCATTGATCTGCATCCAGAAATACAGTTTGAGCCATCTGGAGACTTTCTTTCTTGAATTAATCAAGTAGAAAAGACAATTCTCTATGATCATTACTATTTTACAATTGTTTGATAATCAAATTGTGTTAGTTCACTCAATGTTTACAGGTTGAAGAGAACTACTCATTTTATTTACATAAACAGTAAGTAATGATTTTTATTCCTCATTCAAAGAAGAAATCAGGGTAATATGCATTTCTTGATTTTTCTGTCTTCAATGAGCAAATTTGTAAGTATGTTAAAGGTCGAGTTTCGGTCAACTAAAATGTTTACTGAAAAGAAATGTCATGTTTAATCTTTACAGCAGATAATAGGAGAGTTTGACTCCACGAAGTCTGGTTTTCTCCAATAATCTTTCTGTCTGTTTTAAACAATCTCATTCTCTGCCCTTGACTTTGATAACACCTTACATCACAAACCACACCTCTGATCTGGTCCATCCACCAATCAGAAAGCTCTAAAATGACCCGGAAGTCAACCCATTTAAATGTGGCAACTTCCCGGTTCTCGCCAGAGTAAAAGAGTTACAAAGAGTTACAGTTCTCATGGAGAAGTGAGATGAAAAACTCTCTGATGCAGCTCATGGAGAAGAGTTCCAGAGTTTAACTCTCTGAAGAGAGTTCTGAAGGAGTTCAGAATTCTGACAATCCAGGATGCAGAGAGGATTTTGGGAATTATAACTTCTGTTTGGATAACCTCGCACGACTCCTAAGGGTTTGGCAGTCCTCACGGAGACGCTGAAAGAGTCAGAAAGGAACCCTACGCCGACGCTGATTTTATCATCAACCAGGTAAAGGTTCTACTTCGACCAAGCGTACCGTAGCCATGCTGATTCCCCAAAGAGCGTGTTGTTCTGGTCCTACAGATAAATTCCCTCACACATCTCTCTGTAAGATAAATCTCCATTTTCCATCTTAAACTCTCCTTTCTCCTAAAATCATTACAGATATTTTAGAAATATCTGAAGCAAAGTTCTCAATCACCGCCGTGTGATTGATGTCTGTTATTCTGCTGAGAAGTGAGGACAATCGCCGTATTGTCCACTTTCTGTGAACTTGCCATTGTTATTGTTTTCATATTTTGCCAAATTAATGTAAATGTTTGATGTTAAACTTTGATTCTGCAAATAAATGACCGCATTCATTTGATGGGTCAAAGATAAATAACGTCTCTCTCGTTACATTTCTGTTAAACTCAATGCACGACATTTACACAGTCAGAAAAATGAAGAACTTGTGAAAAATGTATGAATATATCCAGCATATGTCATACTACAAATCATTTATGGTGTGATAACTTACAATTAAATTCACCATAGTTTTAATGAGAAGGGTGTTACTGGAAAGATGCACACAACATGTTGTTTGGCTTAATTTGAGACAATCTGAGTCTTAAATTGTTCTTAACACAAAGTCTTGCTCTGTATTTTGTTTTTATATTTGTCAGAGCTGAGAATCCACTTTCACAAAAGTACGTTGTAGCAAAGGGCATCAAAGACTTTACAGCACATTTGGCCAACACTGGCTGTTCTGTGCGCAGTCCGATCCAGAAATCCGGCAATGGCTTCTGATGTTTTCGCAGCCCCGACAAGAAGTTGAACAAAGGCTGCTTTGATTAACAGGAGTTCCTTCAGCAAGTCACACCCGTTGTCACACCCTTTTATTTTGTCAGTGCAATGATTTTGCGGAACACTAGATGGCAGCATTTACTAGAGATGCACCGATCCGATACCAATATCGGTACAGATATCGAAAAAACTTCTGGATCAGGTATCGGTGACAATGTGACCGATTCATGACTGTGCAGATCTATTCACTCTAATTCTGAGCTTTGTGCTCTGAGTGACGCCACGCGCTAGTGTACTGACTGAGCAAATTAAAGTTGTGTTGTTTTTACATGTTTGACCGAGCTTGTGAAGCTCTTGGTGTGTTTGTGTGCTGTTATGGTGCAGTTTTCAATAAATTATTAATTCAGTACATTCATGTCTGCGTTTAACAAAACAAATGTTTTAAGTTAATTCAGCACTGGGTTTGTAAGCTCAAACATCCAGGTAGACAACAAAAATGGCTAAATCATGTCATCTGACATGATTTAGCCATTTTTGTTAATTCAGTTTTTCTGTATCAGATCGATACCTGATCGGTATTGGTCGATACTAAACAGTGGGTATCGGATCGGAAGTGAAAAAAGTGGATCGGTGCATCCCTAGCATTTACATGGGTATAATTTGGTTATGTGAGAAGGTGCCTCAGTCTATTTATGTGCGAGTGTAGTCTGGCTCTTTTCACATTTTATAAATTTATTATTTCAAATTTTCTTGCGTACCCCCTACGTCCCTCTTTCGTACCCCCAGGGGTACGAGTAACCCACGTTGGGAAGTACTGATTTAAAGCAAACAAAAACGCTGACGAGGCAGCAAGCCCACTTACAAAAATAAAAGTCTAAGTTAGACCTTCAAATCTCGACCACACGACTTCTCAAACTGAGCACTTTACTTAACGATGACGTCTTTACATGAACAAGCAAACCAAAGAAAACTGTCCCCATGTCTAACGTTACTTCCAAATCAACTCCTCTCCTCAAAATAAAAGTATTTTTATTGTGTATGTTTCAGATGACAGAGTGGAAACAGCTTACGTCTATGAGGACAGTGTGACACCTGCTGAAGTTCAGGCGTTCAAGCTTGATATCAAACTGTGGACATCTTTTCAGGCTGTCCAGCTGACAGCACAATGAGGCGTCCTCATTCCACTGCTTCAACGCTGTCTCGTGGTCGTCTCTCCTCCGGTCGTCCTCAGCAGAGGGGCAGCAGCAGGCCTGCTCTCTGCCATCTTTACTGTCCTGCTGCTTGTCATGGTTGGGTTTTTTGTTTTCCTTCCTTTGGATGTCATCAAATTGGAGGAGGTCTTTCATCTGGGAGCTGTCATTACGATTATATCCTCCAGCCATTTCTGCAGTTAGGACAAGACAGGAGGTGACCAGGAGTCACAGAGAGTTAGTTTGAACCTCATGAAGACTTGTGTTTACAGATACAGATAGGACCTTACAGACCTTAAAACCAGCTCAAGAAGTTACATTAGTAGGAATTTAAAACAGAGTGGGCACTAACTGTGAACTATTCTGATTTTACTGTAAAGGAGGGTTATGTCCCCTGTGGCTGAAGAAACTGAATAGTTGGTAGTTTTCAAGAAAAGTGTTTTTCTGGACTGGAATTGAACAGAAATGCAAGTAAACTCCTCTCTTTTCTTTCTCTCCTCATCCTCCTCGATCTTAGTGTGGTGTTTGATACCATCTCCCACATCTTCCTCTACAGACTTTCATCCATTGGCATCACCCATACACCCCTCGCTTGATTTCAGTCATATCTCTCTGGCCGCACTCAGTTCATCCAACTTAAATCATTCAGATCCCACTCCTCCCTCGTCACTTCAGGTGTGCCCCAAGGCTCTGTCCTGGGGTCACTTCTTTTCATCATCTACCTTCTCCCCCTTGGTAGTATCTTCCGTAAATTTAACATTCACTTCAATTGTTTTGCCAACGACACCCAGCTCTTCTTATCCACTGCACCTAATTCTTCACTTCCTCCCTCCTCCCTCACTTCCTGCTTAGCTGAAATTAAATCCTGGTTTACATCTAACTTCCTTAAATTAAACAGTGATAAAACAGAGTTTCTACTCATTGGCACTAAATCCACCATATCTAAAGTCAACAGTTTCTCACTCACCATTGACAGTTCGATGGTTTCTCCCTCCCCTCACGTTAAGAGTCTGGGTGTCATTCTTAACAGCACTCTCTCTTTTCACTCTCACATCAATAATATCACCCGGTCTGCATACTTCCACCTTCGAAACATCAACCGTCTCCGTCCATCCCTCTCCCTGCACTCAGCTTCCATCTTGGTCCATAGCTTGGTCATTTCTCGAATTGATTACTGCAACTCTCTCCTATTTGGTCTGCCGCAAAAATTACTCCGTAAGCTTCAAACGGTTCAAAATTCAGCTGCCCGCATCGTTACCAAAACCCCCTCATTCCACCACATCACTCCAGTTTTACAGCAACTTCACTGGCTTCCAGTCACTTTCAGAATTCAATTTAAAATTCTGCTGTACACATTCAAGGCTATCCATAACCTCTCACCTCCCTATCTGTCCGATCTCCTCCACATTATCACCCATTCACGCTCCCTTCGTTCTTCCTCTTCCATCCACCTCAACGTGCCTCTCGTCCGCCTCAGCACCACGGGACACAGAACCTTTTCTCACTCTGCTCCTCAACTCTGGAACGCTCTGCCCCCAGACATCCGTAATATTGACTCCCTTCAGACCTTCAAATCACAACTCAAAACTCATCTGTTCAAGTTAGCCTTATCACTTATTATTATTATTATTATTAAACCTTAATGGTTTTGGTGTTAGTCAATAGGAGTTACACCACACTGTGTAGAAGAACAGGTAGGTTTCTATTTTCATGTCAGAGGGAGCACAGAGTGACGCATCCTGGCAAGTGGAGGGAGACATTTTTATCCACCATCGGGTGTAATGGTGAAGTCAGGGGGTGACCAATGGTGGCCTTGGCCACCACTGATTAACCTTCAGCCACCCCACTAGCCACCCCAATTGTTTGAGGAAACTATACCTTTAAGCAATATAAAAACTAGAAAGCATAGCTTCCTTAAATGATAGGGGGGCCAGTTTACTTAGAGTTATGGTGATAGCCATCTTGGATTTTGATGGAGACCTAATTTTCCAAAGGGACATTTCACATGCCTAGATCCACCCACACACCAAAAAATGAAGCTGGGCTGTTGCTTATTTATTATCCAGCTCACAAGGTTTACGTACTGCATATACAGTGGTGGCCATCTTGGATTTTGACATGACATTTCAGTTGTTGACAGAAACCTTTCTTACACCTAGAAGCAGCCACACACCAAAATGGACATTGTCTCCTCACTTCAAATGGTCACACGCACAACATTTATGGATGGACGAAGGTGTTTACAATGACCTTTTTTCACTCTGTGATGGGGCACAATAAACCTGCTGATTAAAGAAAGGTAAATGGCTGCTGTCTGTAAACCAACAAACTACCATAAATTTCGCTGTAGGTCACAGGTTTTTTTTTTTTGCATAAATTTGCATGCCTGTGACTTTGTACAGCGAAGGGACGTATTTGTTTTCCTCCATATTTATAAACCAATTTTTGGCTGAGATCTGATGATTTCATTCATTCTGACATGGAAAATATTGAACACTACCATTTTCAACCACTAGAGGGCCCTCGACTTATATGGCAAGCCAAGTGTCTCATTAATTGGTAAAATGAGACACTTGGCTTGCCATACAGCCACCTTCATCCAGCTCCTGGAGCAAATGTCAAATCAGCTGCATTTCACCCGCCGTCCAGACGAAATGCAGCTGATTTGACCATTAAAGAGCATTTATTAAGGAAAAGTTAGACTGAGACAAACAAATAATTGTTTTTAAGTATTTGAAAAGCACAAGTTGTGAACGACTCTCAGCAACTACCACACAACGTTTTGGCTCATATCTGCAAAAGTGACTGTTATTGGAATCTGAGTGTTTTTAAGGCCACTTGTCAGTGGTGGCCATCTTGACTGGGGCTGACTCCAAATGATGAACATCCAGAGATGACTTTTGCATATTTTATTAAAAATTTGCTCAGTGGGTCATGGGATGTGTTTGAAACAGCAAATCACATAGAGACAATCCGAAAGTGAAACTATCCAGAACCAGAAGCTACTGGTCAGTCCTGACACTGAAACTGGTCCATTTAAATATAAAATGCACGAACTCACCTTTAAACACACACCGGGCTGTGTTCACACGTTTCACAGCTCGTGCTGTTCATCCGTTTCGTTCACTTCAAGAAGTCACGAGCGACGACTCAACTTCACTTTCACTTTGAAGCGAAAACGAGAGCTATGGAGGAGGTAACTGCGCATGCGCAGAAATACATAACACGCTCCGGAGAGGCGCGTGGAACCAAGCTCAGTGAAAATGGACTGATTGTCGCCCGCCACTGAAAGGCAAAGGCGGGCGATTGTGTTTTTTACCCTCGTCTCTGTATTTTTGTCGTGCCAGTCTGTTAGCAAAATATCTGCTGAATCCCTGAATAGATTTTAATGAAACTTTCTGAATCTCTAACTTACTGGTTTGGACTCAATTCAATTAAAGATGGTCGCCACAGCCAATTAGCCAACATAAAACTGGCTTTAACTAAATCAGTTTGATACTGAGCAAAGATTTGACGTGGTAGTAGCTGAGAGTCATTCACACACATTACTTCCTGTTATTCTCCAACTATTCTCAACACAGGATTTTAGATTTAAACTCTGGATTTCCTTCAGTGAAAGTTGGTCATTTAATTGGATTATGCTTTTATTCTTATTTTAAAGCAGTTTTAGTTGATTAGATTTATTTTATGTCATTAATATATCAACTTTCATCTCTATTTTTTAAATACAGCTGTAGGTTGCAGGTAAATTCCAATAATCAAACATATCCCCACGGCCTGCTGGACATTCTGTTCAAAGATATAATTGTATGTTGAAGTGCTTCCGCTTGTTTTTAAGTAAACACAACCTCCCAGTCCGTTTCTCCCTGCAGTTTACAGTTTTGAATACAAGATGGCAGCAGTGAGACAAATAGTTTGAGTTAAAGCAGGTTTTTCTCAGGATCTCCATGTTGCCAGATAATAGTCTCAGTTCAAAGAGAAAAGTACTTCAGCTCCATCCTGTACATTTTAAATAATACATCGTCAATTGTTACTTTCTATGCCAATAACTGACTCATAGCTTATGGAGCTGTAATCCCAATGAACTTTTACTTTACGTCATATAATTAAAAGGTTTTAACCAAAAAAAAAAAATAGAAGTTGCAGTGGTAAATTGTTAACTCAATGGCAGTAAAACTAATGTTTTAATTTGTTTACAAATGGTTACATTGTGCACCTATAAGTAAATAATACAGTCCTGGAAAAAACAAAGGTCATCCATCTTTTAATCTAAGATTTTAAATCAGGACTGATCTTTACTTTGTTCTAAAAAAAAAAATAATCTCAAGTGGAGAAAACACACAATAGAGCTTACCATATAATTATTTATTAAACAAACAAACAAAAAAGAGCCAAACTGGCAAAGCTGTGTGTGTAAAAACCTTGCTCTGCCTCATGATTCAGTACTTTGCAGAACCTCCATTAACAGCAAACTTGAAGTAGCTGTTTGAGTCGGTTCACTGAGGTTTGTGGGCATTTGTTTATGCACAACTGACGGCTCCATATATTTAACTCCACGGTACTTTGGTCTCCAGAGGCGTTCACTGTCGACTGATCGCAAACAGTTTGGGTCCTGTGGCTGCAAAACAAGCCAAAATTATCACCCCTCCACCTCCGTGCTTAACAGTTGGTATTTTGTAGACCATAAAACTGACAGGGTGGCACGGTGGCTCAGTTGGTAGAGCTATTGCCTCTCAGCAAGAAGGTTGCCAATTCAAATCCTGGCCAGGGTCATGTCTGGGTGGCTCTAACAAAGTTAAGTTAGGTCCTATGGACAGATGAACCAATAAAAAAAACTTGTTGATACGTTTCATCTTTTATCAAAAGAAAACTGACTTAACTTTGTTAAGATTTTTCTACCTGGATTATTGAGCATGCATCACAAGACTTTCTGGGTGGAGTTTGCATGTTCTCTCCGTGCATGTGTGGGTTTTCTCCAGGTACTCCAGTTTCCTCCCACAGACCAGAAACATATATGTTAGTCTGACTGGTAACTCTAAATTGTCTCTAGGTGAGTGAGAGAGTCAATGGTTGT